ATGCGTTCTTCCCGTGTCTGCTGATGCGAGTAGTGTCCCCCGTTTCCCAGGAACTTCGCAGGCTGCCGTCAGCAAGGGAGGTGCTACTCATCGTTCTGAGCGAGCAGCGGGCTGCGGGTACAAGATAGCGCAGCAACGCATTCAATACACCGCCGGGGCCAGGGGCCAAGACAAGCGAAGAGTCGCGAAAGGACAATTCAAGCGCACACAGCGCGAAGGGCCAAACCACATCCCGGCCACCAGGGGGCACGCAAGCACGAAGTGTGCAGACGGCAGTGGGGATCGCGGCAAGTGGGATTCAGACGATGCGACGGACGAGCGGGTTTCACTGCTGCCGGATTTCGTCGGCGCTTACCAGCGCTACACGTGTCGTCTGCGTGCCGTAAGTGACGCACAGAGGCAAAAGCTACTGCGAGGCGGAGACGTTGAGCGGAGCCCGAGCCCCATGGCAGCACTACAGATGACCGTTCCCTCACTGACGCCGGCCAAACTCGCAACATTAATGGCGCAAGGAGCAGACATGATAGCCATCCGGGAGACCTGGAAGTCGTCGGAGCAGATCGCCAGCATGCATACTGGAGAGTATTTGCCCCACGCACAATCACGTATCCGCAAGGAATGTGTTGCAGCGGTGCTGGTGAGGAAAAACCTCCGCTCCGAGCGTATGCCCCTCATCACTCCTCAACGTGATTCCAGCCTCGACGTGGTGGTGGTCCAATTCGCGCTGGGCCAGAACCGTGATCTTATTGTGGCGAGCACCTATATGAGACCACCGCCGCAACCGACACAACCCCTAGGCGGTTGCTGAGCTGCCTCTCGGTCTCGTCGCCGCTCATTCCGTGTGGAGATTTCAACGTGCGTCGCCCACGGTGGGAGCCCTTCCTGGAGACCCCTCCAAGCAACTCCGCTGTAGAATTTTATACAATCGCGCACGGATGCAGGACTCACCTTGGTTAACACCCCTGGTGAAACAAAGCATGCTCGTGGTGCAAGAGAGAGATCCTGTATCGACCGGACATGGTCAAGGCATCTTACCGTGTCCGACTGGGCAGCCAATTTGCCGCCGCTCAGTGACCACTATGTGTTGACATTCACGCCGCATCAGGCATTTAAGGACACCATGCCCTCGGCACCCGCTTCGGTACGTCGAGTTTTCTACAGCTGGTGGAAGTCCAAGTGGGAGTCCTTCGCCAACGACCTCGACGCACAACTTCCAGCATGCGACCATAAAAAGCAATCAACCGGTATCAAAGCTTTTACGAGAGCACTTGCAGTTTCACTTCGACGGCATTGACCCCGCGGCATGCACAAGGATGATCCCAAGCTCCGGGGCGACACCCTTGCGAAGGCAGAGCGGATTGCTACCGACAGCAAGGCCCGCTGTCTGCAGTTACCGACGCCCGACCGTGAAGCAGAGACGCAACGGGCAAGGAGCCAATTCTTCCTCCTACTCCGAGAGCGCTCGCGCAGCAAATATCGGCGTCGCATCAGCAAGTTAAACCCAGGCAAACCACTCGCCTAAAAAATACATTCCGGACGTAAAAAGACATCAATTCCGTCTCCCACAACGGCGTTGATGTACGATGGCCGCAAGAATAATTTCAGGACAGCGAGGAGAGCAGCGGATGCGCTCAATCTTGGATTCCTCCCCACCTCGCAAGGCGATTGGGTTTTCCAACGGGAAAAAACGGAGAAAACAAGTCCTTGTGTATTTCTTCTCCCTCCCCTTCTTAGGCCGCAGAACAACAACGAGTCGGCCGCCTCATCTTCGATAGGTTCCTTCTCTCCCCTCTCTCTGGATGCCTCTTTTAATCGTACGGAACTGCGTGCAGCGCTGCGCAGCACACCGTACGGCAAGGCCCCGGACCGGACGAAGTCCACAGCGGGGCGCTACGACATCTTTCGACGAAGTGTCTCCGACTCCCTCTCCGCCGCATCAACCACAGCCGGACAGCCGGCACGATTCCGGTCCAGTGGCGACGAGCCACCATCGTCCCAGTCCTGAAACCCGGTAATTCGCCGGCGCTAACGGAGTCATATCGACCCATCAGCCTTCCTTCCATCGTGGGTAAGGTCGCTGAGAAAATGGCATTGAGTAGACTGCTTTGGCTGTGGACGCCTCGCCCACACCAGCATGCTTGCCGTAGTATGCGTACCACGACGATGCAGCTGGCACACCTGATACATGAAGTGGAGCATAACAGAACCGATTACTTCCAAGCGAACCTTCCCAAGAAGAGCGGTGTTGGAAGCCAGCTCCACTGCAGACCCCATCGGGCTCCGTTGGTGCTGGTAGACTCCAGCAAGGCCTTTGAGTTCACTGTTCATCGAGTCCTCAGTCGCTTGCCGGCCAATATTCCGGGGGTGAACTGCCGAAGGTGGCTTGGAAAATTTCTGCGTGGCCGCTGCGCGAAGACACGAGTTGGCAACAGACACGGCGATCGGTCTTCCACGCTGCGAGGAGCTCCTCAGGGGTCCGTATTGGGAACACATTTTTGTTCTCCCTTTACGCACACCCACTTCTCAATCTGCTGAACGGCTTCTCAGGCGTCACAGCAGACATGCACGCGGATGATCTCTCCATTGTAATCAACGGCCGCTCTCGGGAAGACGCCATTCCTGCAGCCAACACGGTCCCCAAAAAACTGCACGCGCGGGGCCAGTAAAATGGCCTGGCCATCATCCCGCCAATGTGCAAAGCCGCTTGGTTCACACTCTCCACGCACACGGAGTCAAACTATGATCGCAAAGGAAAGTGGCCGCTGGAAGTGGCTGGATGTAAAATTCCAGTCATGACCATGGGGGCATCGCGAACTGCGAAGCTTCTCGGCATGGATCTCGATCCGCAACTGACGGTAAATATGGCGGCCGCCTCGCAACGGATATCGCAGCCACGCCGCATTGCGCATAAAGAGGCGGGGCCATCTCCACATGACCCACGCACGTTCATCATCGGATACGGCGCATCCAAATTGCGCTACGGCAGCGAGCTCATATGGGCAGTAGCGACGGATTCAGCGAAAAATGAGATGCAAGAGACGTACGCAGGTGTGGCACGCATCGTCAGCGGAGTTCCGAGCACTGTCGACCAGTAATCCGCACTCCTAGAAGCAAATATACCGCCGCTCCACGTCGTCCGCCTGCACGCGGCTCTCCATGTTTGATAACACACGCAATTGTCAGATGGACTGGGAGCGGAGATCAACGTCTGAGCCTTCGCCTCGCGCAGATTTCCGCATCTCGCCATGATCTCGGCACGAGCCATATGCCTTCGTAGACGCATACGCAAAGGGCTACGGCATCACCGAGAGCTCACCACGCGAAGAGCGGTTCTTTCGTGGCTCCATTCCTCCCTGGTCTGCGGCCTCCGCTCACCGGGTCACCATCGGTGTGGAACTTCCGATAGACCACTCAATCACCGACGAAAAAAAACTGACACAGGAAATGCGCAGAGTCCGTAAAGAGGCTCTAGCGTTGCACAGCCACCGCTCGTGGATACTCGCAACGGATGGCGATTTCGACGTTCCCACGCCAGCCTGCGTTGGCATACCGCCTTCATCCCTGCATTCCTCGCAGATAATAGAGAAAGTAAGTAACAACCGCGGCACACGCCCTTGAAGCTGCAGGACGGAATCCAGTGCGCTGCTCCTGGCCCTGGAGTGGCTGATTATCCCTCGGATCCACCACAGGCGTAAAAACCCCCGCTTGTGCCGACACAAAGCCAGTCTCTCCTAGCGGCCCTCAACAAGGACCGGATCTGGCAGCGTCTCTTGACACTGATGCGTGCCGGCCGGTCCGTGCACCGGCAGTTTTGTTACGGACATTGTGGAGTGCATGCTAATGAGCCTGCGGCTCAGCATGCGACGCAGACCATGGCAACCGGACAACACACGGAACATGGAATCGCACCCATATGGCACACGGACCCGCCGACATGTTTTGCTGCCCAGCCCAGCAACAAGTGGCGTCGTACCATTCGCCAAGACACTCACCGCTACTCGTTCTGTGGTGCCAGGAAGCGGTCTCTGCTACCGCAGGATCAGCCAACCTCCACAGGCACGCCAGTTGACACGCAGGAAACCTTTCACCATCTGCTTCTAGAATGCCCAGGCACCTCCGCCGCGCGCCAACGGCGGGGCATTCAGGAAGATCCACGCAGCGAAAAGTTCTCTCAGTGGCATTTGCTTCATAGCAGGAAGCCTTTTCCGCTGCTCAACCGCCTCCTCGGCACCCAGATGGCATTGTATAGCTAGACGCGCTGGTAAGAGTGGGAAAACGAACAAATATTGGTGCTGGTGTTCGTGGCAACCTGCTGCGCAATGGATTGTTGAATGACGACGACCGAGAGAGAGCCCCGCAAAGTCGCTATCTCCACAGGCATCTCGGCCCGCCCCCTGCTGCCCACTCCCCTCCACCAAACCCACAAAAATAAAAAACGAAGTAGACAGCAATGCGACCCAACAGAAATGTCCGCAGGGCAACGCAAATTCCACAGCAGCAGCGTGAGGGGGCACTCAAACACCGCCGTCGCGGCTTCGGTGACAGTGAGAAAGCGTGCAAATCAGCAGCACAAAAACAAAAACAAAAGAAAACCAAAAAAAGAAGTTTTGGGGGAATCAGAGTTTGGTTCAATAAGCCCAACGTCCCCCAGTTCAAGGGAGACCGAACCAAAACTTACACACACAAAAACAAAAACAAAAAAACAAAATATTTCGCTGCTCCCTCCGCGAGAAGCAGGCTCGTTGCAAACTCGCGAAGTGGCAGCCATCGAGGCCCCACAGCAGCCAGACACCTCCTCGAGCTGCGCCACACAAAGTGAGTCACTGGCGACCCTGTCGCTGAATGCCTCGTCGTGATAGCAGGCCCTCGTGCCACTGTGAAGCAGTTGGCCCTTATGTCACAAGGGAAAACGCGTCACCGCACAGCGTGCAAACCGTCAAATTGAAGAAACACAAGGGAAAAAAAAGAAGGAAATCAAAACGGAAAATGCCCTCGCCGCACTCCAACGCGGTCTCCACTTAAACAAAGGGCCAGTGACAAAAAAGCGCTGAAAAACAAATTCAAAATACGCATCCCCATCTGTCCGCAGATTTATTCAAAATGTTCGAGAACAAAAAACAAAAACATTACTGGAAATCATTTCCTTGTTATGAGAGCGCACACACACATTTACCCAAACGGTTCACACCACAATTATGAATTTATCTACATTTGTCAGGAGACTCTCTCACTACATCAGAAAAAAACTGCCGTAAAGAACACGTGCAGCAGCAAAGCACACGCACACAGAAGAAGCCCTCCGCCCGAAAAAGCCGAAATTGCAGCGCCATCGGGCAAAATCAAAAACATACGAGTGGCACTGTTACCAGCGGGAGTCGAGGGCGTACTGTGGGCACTGCTGTCAACGGGAGTCGAGGGTGTACCGTGGGCACTGCTGTCAACGGGAGTCGAGGGCGTACTGTGGGCACTACTGTCAACGGGAGTCGAGGGCGTACTGTGGGCACTGCTGTCAACGGGAGCCGAGGGCGTACCGTGGGCACTGCTGTCAACGGGAGTCGAGGGTGTACCGTGGGCACTGCTGTCAACGGGAGTCGAGGGTGTACTGTGGGCACTGCTGTCAACGGGAGTCGAGGGCGTACTGTGGGCACTGCTGTCAACGGGAGTCGAGGGTGTACTGTGGGCACTGCTGTCAACGGGAGTCGAGGGTGTACTGTGGGCACTGCTGTCAACGGGAGTCGAGGGTGTACCGTGGGCACTGCTGTCAACGGGAGTCGAGGGTGTACTGTGGGCACTGCTGTCAACGGGAGTCGAGGGTGTACCGTGGGCACTGCTGTCAACGGGAGTCGAGGGCGTACCGTGGGCGCTGCTGTCAACGGGAGTCGAGGGCGTACTGTGGGCACTGCTGTCAACGGGAGTCGAGGGCGTACCGTGGGCACTGCTGTCAACGGGAGTCGAGGGTGTACCGTGGGCACTGCTGTCAACGGGAGTCGAGGGTGTACCGTGGGCACTGCTGTCAACGGGAGTCGAGGGCGTACTGTGGGCACTGCTGTCAACGGGAGTCGAGGGTGTACCGTGGGCACTGCTGTCAACGGGAGTCGAGGGTGTACCGTGGGCACTGCTGTCAACGGGAGTTGAGGGCGTACTGTGGGCACTGCTGTCAACGGGAGTCGAGTGTGTACTGTGGGCACTGCTGTCAACGGGAGTCGAGGGTGTACCGTGGGCACTGCTGTCAGCGGGAGTTGAGGGCGTACTGTGGGCACTGCTGTCAACGGGAGTTGAGGGCGTACTGTGGGCACTGCTGTCAACGGGAGTCGAGGGTGTACCGTGGGCACTGCTGTCAACGGGAGTCGAGGGTGTACCGTGGGCACTGCTGTCAGCGGGAGTTGAGGGCGTACTGTGGGCACTGCTGTCAACGGGAGTTGAGGGCGTACTGTGGGCACTGCTGTCAACGGGAGTCGAGGGCGTACCGTGGGCACTGCTGTCAACGGGAGTCGAGGGCGTACCGTGGGCACTGCTGTCAACGGGAGTTGAGGGCGTACTGTGGGCACTGCTGTCAACGGGAGTCGAGGGCGTACCGTGGGCACTGCTGTCAACGGGAGTCGAGGGCGTACCGTGGGCACTGCTGTCAACGGGAGTCGAGGGCGTACTGTGGGCACTGCTGTCAACGGGAGTCGAGGGTGTACCGTGGGCACTGCTGTCAACGGGAGTCGAGGGTGTACCGTGGGCACTGCTGTCAGCGGGAGTTGAGGGCGTACTGTGGGCACTGCTGTCAACGGGAGTCGAGGGCGTACCGTGGGCACTGCTGTCAACGGGAGTCGAGGGCGTACCGTGGGCACTGCTGTCGCTGCTGCTGTCCATGTGTGCTTCCGTGCCAATCAGGTCCTGGCTCAAGAACAAGGTCCTGATCTCCTCGGCATTCAGCTGACGGTTGTAAAGAAGAACATTATTCACCGTCACGTGGCTTATGGTTGGCATATCACTCCTTTTATACCCGCCAACGTAGAAGTGGGAGATGTCAGGCGTCCTCCCGTCTGGCACAACGGTCTGCCCTGAACCCTCCAGAGGTTCTCCATCAATGTACACGGAGCCAATTTTATTCGCCATCGTAAGAACCACGTGGTACCTCTTACCCGTCTCCCACGATCCCGTCGGCGTCACCGGCGTTGATCCGTATATTGGCTGCCACTGGTGCTTCTTGTCGTACGAGAGCCCCAGGAGTTTTTTGCCACCAGAAGAGTCCAGGCTCGCACCCAGCAAAGGACTCGCGACGCTCGGAACCTCGTGAATCGTCACCGACGCCACCAGCGTGAACGCGTGGTTTGCAAAACGATACCGTTGATTCTGCCCCTGCTGGCTCACCGGCCAAAGCGCCCCTCCGCCAACCCCCGCAAACTTCAAACCGTTCGGAACCCTCTCCGCATTTGCCGTGCTTGCGTTGACGCAGCGGTACGCATCCTCCCATACGTTTTGGGAGGCATTGCCGGACAAAAACCCAACAAGACCAACCGTGGTGACAGCGGGACCACAACCACGCTCTGACGACGAAGCGGCTGGATCAGCAGGGGTGCAAATGCTGGACAGGTGGCTGTCCCAATTCTTCCAGGACTGCAGCACTGATTTAATGATCCGTAGCTCGCCAACCAGGCGTGCAAAAACAAGGCTGTACACCTCGTTAGTGTTGATCTCATGCAAACAGTACAGCTTATCATCCTTGTACAGGACGGAGCTGTAGGCGGCATTTTCATCACCAATGGATACTTGCCCAACGTTATAAATGCGCTGGTTATCCGTCAGCCAGAGGTTCAGTCGGTCGCGCAGCCACCTTCCCTTAAAATTCAGCGGGTGTGTGAAGAGCATCACACGCATTCCTTCGATGGTCACGGCAGTGAAGCTGCTCTGACTGCCGGGCTGGTCCGATTTTGGTGAGGGGCCCCACACACGCGAGAGCGTGCCGACAGCCTCCACCCACGTATTCCCCATGTCACTGGACTCGTACACCAGACGGCGTGCCCGGTCAACTCGGGTGTTTATGATGAGCTTCCCCTCCCACTCAAGGGCCACAGGTTCGGAGCAGCCAAAATCGCTCCTGCCCTTCCCAAACTTCCACGTCTTGCCCTCGTCTTCCGAGTAGAAGATCTTGGAAAAAACTTGCTTCCTTTTGTTCGTAACCTGCACAGGGTACACAAGATTCCCGTTGGACGCCACAATGGCAACACCCGCACCGCCAAGAAATTGATTTGTGTGCATTCCTTCCATTTCTGCCGGAAAAAACTTCTTCAGTGACACGGGGCTCCCCCATTTGATGCTCGCAGTTGTCTTGCCGCCCGCAGTGGACTTCGTGACCTCACCAACGGCAAGCAGAATATCCCAGTCGCTTCCATCAGGCTGCCAAGTCCAGTAGCTTTTCGAACTATTGTAGCTTCCAACCAGGACGTAAAGCTTGTTGCCCTTCACAATCACTGTGGGAACCACCACACGAGAAACAGACGATACACGGCTGTTCTTGATGGCAATTTGGGTCTCCCATGTCTCCCCGTCGTCCACGCTGTACTTCGCCACCGTATCAATGAGGGAGTTGTCATTGGATGTTTCGTAGCGAGCGTCCGCGATGGCAACCATCACCCCGTCCACATTAACAAGGGCGGGGAGGCGGAACGAGTGGACAACCCGATCGGTGACTTTGCCGTCCTTTTCAAATGGCACCTTCGAGCTTTGCCGCTTAAACAGCTCAACTCGGCTCGATTCGGGTGCCAGGGCGTGCGCGGGCTCGCTGGGGCAGAGCGCAAGAAGAAGCGGCACGAAAAACATTAGCCAGAACATCCTACTGGCCCCAACGACTGTTTTCCCCATCGTGGTCGGTGCCTGCCTGTGTGTCCTTCGGGTGTTGTTTGTAGAACTTCTATTATGCCTAAAACAATGGTGTCAAGATCTTCTCTTTGCAGGGGGATTGCCGCGGAGAAAGTGGGAAGAGAAAGGGGAACACACAAGTCGCCGTGGGCTCAAAGCGCCGGGTACCGTCCGCGGGACAGCACGCAATTGTGGCAGTTCATCGTTGGTGGTGGCCACGCGCGGAAGCCTGCTTTCTTCTTCCAACGGTCCTTCATTCCGCGCCACGGCGGCGGCCCGCGGGAATAGAAGGCAGGGAAGCAACGACAGGCCTGACGGACGCGATGGCCGCTGCTGTGGGAACTACGAGGCCGCCTCGCACAAGAACGCCACCGCCGCCACCAAAACAGTTCTCTCGGCATCCGCCGCGCCGCGCCACGGCGTCCAGCGTTACACCGGGATCTCCGCAAGCCCCGCAACAGACCGAGAGCAATGTGCGGCACGCTGCGGCAGCGCCATGACCATCATCCCGACGCCTATTCCTGCGCGGCTCGTCGCATTGCAGAAACCGCACCGTCAGCAGGTTGCTGCTGTCAATAAAACGGAGACAAAGTAACGCCGGCGTGTCGCGGGACTTGCGGCAGGCGCAGGAAACCCTCTCACCGCCGGCAGCTCACGCCAAACACCACACGGGCGATCACGTCATGATGCTGCCTCCGCCAAGCTGACGTTATAGCCGTCATCCGGCGACAGAAGCTTGCCCTGGTACACATGCCCTTGCCGTGTCTCGGCCTCGACTCGGAGAGACGGAGAAGGTCGCAATGACAATGAAGGCAAAGCCTGGTAAGGCAAATCGATTCGTTGGCCCTGGAGTGGCTGATTATCCCTCGGATCCACCACAGGCGTAAAAACCCCGCTTGTGGCGACACAAAGCCAGTCTCTCCTAGCGGCCCTCAACAAGGACCGGATCTGGCAGCGTCTCTTGACACTGATGCGTGCCGGCCGGTCCGTGCACCGGCAGTTTTGTTACGGACATTGTGGAGTGCATGCTAATGAGCCTGCGGCTCAGCATGCGACGCAGAC